ATTCAAAGCACATGATCTGTAGCAACTGCCTTTACCCTGAGTGCAGAAGACTGAGGACTTTTGTTTAAAAGAAATTCTCATGCAAACACTTTCCCCCAGTGGCAGTGGGATGGGTCTTCACACCTCTTAACCTCCCTCCACTTTCCTCCAGGTAGGGGCAGATACTGGACACAGAGCTGTCCTCTGGGAGACCTTGGGGTCTGCCCCAGATGGTCCTCACCTGGGCCACTTGCCTTAATTTTCTGCAGCACCCCTGCCCCTCTGTTACATGCCAGACTCAGATTTGCCCAGGTGGCTGGGGTCTATTCTCCCACTGATGTCCTGGAGCTGGCCACTGGCTCTGTGATATAGGGCCCCTCTCCTCAGCCATAGGGGTTGCTTAGAAGACCATGGGCAGAGCCAGATGGTGGAGGTGGAGAACAGGGGTGCCACTCCAGTGTGGGAGCACTCCTAGTGGTGCTTCCTGGTGGCTGTGGCCATCCAAGGGGCCCCTCCTGGTGGGGTGGTAATGGGAGGACAGGCCAAGGCAGCCCCACTCATTCATGGGACCACATACCCCTGGTGGGGCATTTGCTCTGTCCTTGGTGCTTTCTGCTGCCCCCCACAAGTCTAGGGAAGGCTGAGGTCTCAGACTCCTGGCCAGGGCAGGGGTTGAGCTGAAGAACAGAGCCACCACAGCAACACCCAGAAAGCAGTCCTACCAGGAGTGTGCACATAGCTGGCCACTGCCTCAGGCTGCCTGGTTCAGAAGGGGATGCCTTCCGTGGTCAAGGCTCTGACCGGCATCTTGCCCAATTCCTGAGGGTTCAGGTGGAGGGAGGAAGATGCTGGCCAGGCTCCAGGGTGCAGCTCTGACATAGGTGGAGGAGGGCCCTCACACCTGTGGCCCTAAAACCCCTAAACTTGGCTGTTGCAAGCAGGGGTGATGGCCTCAGCTGGCATGACTTACCCAATGCTGCACCTGACTCCAGGAATTTGGGAGCAGAGCGAGCTCAGCTTTGTGGGACTCTTTGGGGCACTCAGGGGCAGTGTCCAGGAGTCAGACTTGGCCTCAGTCCAGAGTTTCAAGGGCCAAGGAAAGGCCAGTGGTTTGGGGTTATTTTTACTACAAAAGAAGTTACCTAATTTTATAAAGACAAATCTATTATAGCTAAGTAATGCAGTATTTAATAAAATGTTAGTTTGAAGGGATATACTGTATTTCTCTTTACTTGATATTAAAACTGAGCTTTTGGCCAGGTGAGGTGGCTCGTGCCTGTAATCCTAGCACTCTGGGAAGCCAAGTTGGGAGGATTGCTTGAACCCAGGATTTCAAGGAAGAGCAAGACACTGTCTACAGAAAATAGAAAAATTAGCTGGGTGTGGTAGCATGTGCCTGTAGTCCCAGCTACTCGGGATGCTGAGGCAGGAGAATCTGCTTGAGCTCAGGAGTTTGAGCCTGTAGTGAGTTATGATGATGTTTCTGTCACCCACTCTGGCCTGGGTGACAGAAACAAAATCTGTCTGAAAAAAAAAACAACTGTCTCAAAAAATAAAACCAGGCCGGGCGCGGTGGCTCACGCCTGTAATCCTAGCTCTCTGGGAGGCCGAGATGGGCAGATTGCTCGAGGTCAGGAGTTCGAAACCAGCCTGAGCAAGAGCGAGACCCTGTCTCTACTATAAATAGAAAGAAATTAATTGGCCAACTAATATATGTAGAAAAAATGAGCCGGGCATGGTGGCGCATACCTGTAGTCCCAGCTACTTGGGAGGCTGAGGCAGAAGGATTGCTTGAGCCCAGGAGTTTGAGGTTGCTGTGAGCTAGGCTAACGCCACGGCACTCACTCTAGCCTAGGCAACAAAGCGAGACTCTGTCTCAAAAAAAAGTAATAAATAAAATAAAACCAAGCTTTTGTAACAGTTGGGAAAGTGGCTGTGAGATGTTGGAGAAGCCATATTAGAAGTAGAATTGTATACAACTTTGTGGCTAAAAAAAAAAAAAAAGTAGAATTTTGCACACTTCAATGAGTGTGGTTTGTTCAGAATGAGGAAGAAAAACACATTGGTTGGGAGGCTGGTGCTGCAGGAAACTTCCCCTCCGATGTCTAATTGGAGGCTCCAGGGCCACCTGCAGGAGCAGATTGGGAGGCAGCCTCCTTGGCCTGGCTGTCTGATAGAGGGGCAGTGGTTGATCCTCGCCTGTGTGTTGGAAGCCTGGGCCCTTGGAGGTGTCCTACTGTGCGTTATAGGGGATGGGGATCACTGGTTGCTTCCAGATGCAGGAGCTGTTGAGGGCACACACTGGTAGCCAGTGAGTGGCCCTTGCTGATCCACTGTTGTGTTTGTGGCAGTGTCCTGTGGGGACATCGGAGCTGTCTCTTGACCTTGCTGTGGGTCAGGGTGCCCTAGGAATCACCAGCTGAGCACTGAGGCAGCCAGACAGCAACTGCGGTTAGAGAGCTCATCCTTGGTTCTCACCCTGACCCAAGCTCTCTGGGCAGCACCCAAGGATTCCTGATGGCACTGAGCAGTGCCACCCCAGGGCCTCCAAGTGTGTACCCCAACAGCCAGAGAGTAAGTGCTAGCTGCTGTTTCTCCCATCTTGTTCCTTGTGTAAGAGTGTGAATTTATAAGCTCACTTTGCAGATGGAGAAAAATTTGTCACACAAAGATTAGGATAGAAAAAAGAAAAAGTTTATTTTACTTTTTCCAGATGGAAAAAGGGCGAACATGGAAGTGAAAGAGGGAGAGTGTGTTAGGTATAGAAGACTGGTTACACAGGCTTTTAATTTAGGGGTTGTAAAGTGGGTGAAGATTATGTCTGTATCCCAGTTAGCTGGGTACTGCTATATCCGCTTCTTCTCTTTTTTCTTAGTGGTGGGCTGATAACAGAAGCAGTTGTGGGATTTTGAAGATCTTCTCAGTGATCTTGCCTTTGAGATTTGTTTTTTGGGCAGGACCTAAGGAAGCCTACAGCTCCCACCCCTGCTGGAACTCAGGAACCCTTCAAGACCATAAAGCAGTAGGTCTGGTGAACCTAAAATAATTTACATTTCCTTTCTGTCTGCTCAGCTCTTTTTAGACAGAACTCTGTGGGGTGCCTGTTAGCAAAAGAGCTCAAATGAATGATCTTAGCCTTTACTGAGAAAATAGATAATTTTTTTTTTTTGCTGTTGTTGTTTTTTGAGACAGAGTCTCGCTCTGTTGCTTAGGCTAGAGTGCTGTGGCATCAGCCTACCTCACAGCAACCTCAAACTCTGGGGCTCTAGCAGTCCTCCTGTTTCAGCCTCCTGAGTACAAGTAGCTGGGACTATAGGCATGCACCACCACACCTGGCTAATTTTTCTATTTTTAGTTGCCTAGCTAATTTTTTTATATTTTTAGTAGAGATAGGGTCTTACTCTTGCTCAGGCTGGTCTCAAACTCCTGGCCTGCTCTACCTGGTGTTAAAACCAAGTCGCCTCAGCCTCCCATAGTGCTAGGATTACAGGCATGAGCCACCATGGCCAGCCGATAATTTTTTTGTTATTTCACTAGCAAGGCTGTCCTTTCACTTGACCCACAGAACATTTCCTGGAGAAGCAGTTCATGTAACCTCTTTGAAAAAAATAGGACAAATGGACTCACGTTTTGTGCTTTGAGGATCTTCTGATTATTTTTTAAAATCCCCTTTCAAGAAAAATGTCTTCTGATTCTTTCCAATGTGGGGCTTTGTCTTCACCTTTTTTATTTTGCATACACAGACCAGCAGTGCTTCAATTATAAACAACACTGGCCTGGCGTGGTGGCTCACGCCTGTAATCCTAGCTCTCTGGGAGGCCGAGACGGGCGGATTGCTCAAGGTCAGGAGTTTGAAACCATCCTGAGTGAGACCTTGTCTCTACTAAAAATAGAAAGAAATTAATTGGCCAACTAATATATACAGAAAAAAAAATTAGCCGGGCATGGTGGCGCATGCCTGTAGTCCCAGCCACTCTGGAGGCTGAGGCAGTAGGATTGTTTGAGCCCAGGAGATTGAGGTTGCTGTGAGCTAGGCTGATGCCAGGGCACTCACTGTAGCCTGGGCAACAGAGGGAGACTGTCTCAAAAAAAAAAAAAAGAACTCTTTAGTTCTGTGCTGAGGATTATGGGGAGGTCTGGGGGGACAGGATGTGGCCATCCCAGTTTGGGGGTGACCTTCCTGAGTTCAAAAGGGAGGGGACACACCAAAGCACTGTCCTAAGGGCAGGATGTGCAAAAGCTCAGCCTTGCTGGAGTGTGGACGGTAAGGGGGATCCCAAGCCTTCCCTTGGGGCTCAGCCTCCTTGACCTCTGTCTCCACTTCCCACTCTTTAACCTGGAACCTTGGAGCTGCAGATCTGTGGGGAAGCAGAATTGGACAGGGTGGGGCGCTCTGCAGACACCTTGTAGCCAGGCAGAGCCAACTGGCCCTGGGCAGAGGGCGGGACTGACTCCTTAAATCCATAAGTACATTGACAGCCTGTGAGTGCCAGGCACCAGGACATAAGAGGATGTTGGGGACTCGAGAGGACATCATAGACGGGGCAGGGAGACAGGCAGTTCAGGCAGTGGCAGTTTTGTGGCCAATGGCCAGGGCAGTGTAACCAAGAAGATGCAGTCAATTATGGAAGTCTAAAAGATTACTCCAAGACTTTTAATGGCCTAAAACGATAGACCACTATGAACCCAAATGAGTGACTGGGGCAAAAATCTCAATCAATGGAGGTTAAGCCAAAGTTGAAGATGTGCCCAGGAAAAACATGGAACTACAGATAAGCTATGGCTGTTTTTTTCTTTTTTTTTGAGACTCTGTTGCCCAGGCTAGAGTGAGTGCCGTGGCGTCAGCCTAGCTCACAGCAACCTCAAACTCCTGGGCTCAAGTAATTCTCCTGCCTCAGCCTCCCGAGTAGCTGGGACTACAGGCATGTGCCACCATGCCCGGCTAATTTTTTCTATATATTTAGTTGTCCGGCTAATTTCTTTCTATTTTTTTAGTAGAGACGGGGTCTTGCTCTTGCTCAGGCTGGTCTGGAACTCCTGACCTCCCGCCTTGGCCTCCCAGAGTGCTAGGATTACAGGCCTGAGCCAGCAGTTTTTTCTGAAGGGGAAGTTGGAACCTTTAGCATTTTGAAGGCATACAGACAGGAGGAAAAGGCGGGGGTGGGGCTTTGCTGTGGCAAAGTGGTTACATTCTTGTGAGGCCCAGGAAATCTGCATTATATATAAAACAAGGAGATGTTAGGAAGGAAAAAAGGACTTAAGGAAACATTAATTATGTAGATATCCCTGGGTAGGTGGAAGAATGTCTGATTCCATCTTGTTTTCCAGTTCTGGAACCTGTAAGATAAACTTGTAATTCGTTATTAGTGTGGACTCAACAGGGTTCAGTGTTAGGTGCTTACAGTAGGCCAGCAAGGAATTTCCTTACTAAACGCTCTGTGAGGTCAGTTCTTTACAGGTGCCTGAGGCCTTTACCTTCTCTTTTGCACAGAAGCTTGGGGGTGACCCTGAGACTTTGATTGTCTTTTTACACCGCGCACCCCCGGGCCTGCCGCGGTCTGACAGTTCGGGTGGGGCCAACTGCGGCTCTGAAGACCGCATCTTCCGGATTCCGGTTCCCGCCAGCGCGGAGACACGTCCCCACCTGGGCCGGGACAAATAGGAGACGCGCCCTAACCAAGACTGGGACCAATCGGAAACGCGCCGCTTTCCTCCTTCCCTCGCGCCCGCGTCGAGCGCGTCCCTATCTCCCGCCGAGATCCCTCCCGGACCCGCGAAGGCGCGACCTATCAGCGCACGAGGGGCCCTCTGGCCGCCTGAGTGCAGGGGCCAACCTTTCCCTCGGGTCTCTCCTCAGCCAGCCAGACGGAGCGTCCGGCAGTGAGGCCGCGCTGCCCGCCGGGGTCCTCCGGCCTCGGGCCGCTCTAGTGGACTCGCAAGGCGCGCGCAGCGAGGGGCCTCCCCCCGCGCATGGGCCGGATGGTCTTGCCCGCCGGGGCGCGCGCGGGAGCGTCGAGGGGCGGGGCCAGCGGCCTATAAAAGCGGTTGGGGGCGGGGTGCACAGAGCTTGTCGGCGCCCGAGCCAGGAGGTGGTCTGCCGGGTCGTCACCGTAGCTGCAGCTCTTGGCGTCTGCTCCGCGCTCCCGCCGCCGCCATGGCCTGCCGGCCGCGAAGCCCCCCCAGGTGCGGAAGCCGCTGCGACAGTGACGCCAGGTGAGGCCGGGCCGCGCGGCCGTGGGCGTCCCGGCCTGGCCTCGGGCGCGCGCGTCAGGCAGGGGTGGGGCCGAGCAGGGCCGCGTGCGGGGCTGGGGTCTTCCAGGCGGGACCGGACCGCGTGTGCGGCGGGAGTCCTCGGCCCGGGGTCGGGCCGCGCCGCGTGTGGGGCGGGGTGTCCTTGTCCATGCGAGACCCGCCGACCGCGTCTCTGCCCCCAGCCCGCCTTCCCTCGCGAGATGGAGCCTCGGACGGAAGCGCAGAGCCGACTGGAGGCGCAGGAAGCCGGAGGATGCAGAGTATGGCGAGCGCCGGGGCGCCGACCGCAGACCCGAGAGGTGGGCCCCAGGCCGCTGGTGCTTGAGGGTTTGGAGGGGCGCGGTGGGGCCCTTGCAGAGGCTGCTTTGGGGTCTCCCTTGCTCCTGTTTTTAAAAGATGCTGAGACATATCAGATAGGTGCGGTCTGGGTCCCCTTAATTTTTGTCTCTGCTCGATCCTCTAGCCCCCTGCTTTAACTGTCATGAGTGAAATGACGATTAAGAGGCAGGCGCAGCCTTCCAGCCTTCTGGTGCCTTCTGCCTGGGCCACCATGGCTGGACTGTGAGGTGCTGGACGTCCGGGAAGCATCTTCCCATTGATAAGTGTCAGCAAAGCGAACTTCAACCAGGTTGCACCCTTGCTGTGCTCCAGGGAGAGTGATAGGGACTATCACGAACTTTTAAAACTCTGTGAGATAGCGAGGCGTTTTTAATCTTACTCTGAAGAGTTAATTCGGAGAAGTTACAGGGGGGGAAAGAATGTTAAGTGAAAGCCAGGATGCAATTCAAGATTTAAGTTCCAGATCCCCTTTTCCATTTTGATGCTACTGGGGCTTTACTGGAGGCTTTTCCTGAGGCTTTTGTAGTATTTGCTTGAGCATTTTGTAGGTTAGGCAGTGTGCTGGAAGGTCAAGATGTGAGCTGAACAAGGTCTCTGTTCCTTTGCTTGTAGCCTAAAGTAGGTGGGATAGCATGTCTATCAGGTAATTCAGAGTGAGGGGTGTCTGAAGAAAGTAAGGGGTGCCTGTGGTGGTAGTGAGGGGGCAATTCAGGGCCATGGTCAGGGAAGGCCTCTCTTGGAGGACCTTTGGGTCACAACTGGGATGAAATCGGAAGTGATCTTTGTGCCAGTCCCTGTGAGGAGCTTTGTGCCAAGGCTCTTAGGTGGATATGTTTGTAAACTGACCAGAGGCTAAAGGGCAGGGGCTGCTGTTGAGGTCAAATGAAAGGGTATGGTGACTTGGCCAAAATAGAGCAGTGAAAGTGGTAGGAAGTGCATGGTCCAGGATAGACTTCTGAAGATAGGACCTTTAGGTCTTGCTGAAGGGTTGGGGGCAGGAGGAAAGAGGAGTCAAAGATGACTCAATTGGCCAACTAATATATATATAGAAAAAATTAGCTGGGCATGGCGGCGCATTCCTGTAGTCCCAGCTACTCGGGAGCCTGAGGCAGCATGATTGCTTGAGCCCGGGAGTTTGAGGTTGCTGTGAGCTAGGCTGACGCCAGGGCACTCACTCTAGCCTGGGCGACAGAGTGAGGCTCTGTCTCCAAAAAAAAAGATGACTCAAGACTTCATGCCGGAACACCTGGGTTGATTGTGGGGCCATTTCCAGGATAAAGAGGTGGGAGTAGAGTAGACCTACATGGGGAGGGAAACTTCTTAGGCAGCAAGGGAAGATGTCAAGAAAGTAATGGAATCTCGGAGTCTGGATGGGGAGGCCACACCAAGCACTCTGAATTGTCAGCACATACAGATTATACTTAAAGAGTTAGGACTAGGGGCAGGGATAGGAGTGATACTAGCACAGCCCCAGGGTTAGATAGGAGGGATAATCAAACCATACCGAGATCAAGCTCTGAACCCTCCAGTGGCCTTATTTAGCTGAAGATAAGATGCGAAATCCTTGTAATACTCTAGAAGTCTTTGATATCTGGACCAGTACTTCTCTAGTCTCCTCATTTCTCCAACAGGACAGGAATACTTCTGTTCTGGGGCCTTGGCACTTGCTGTTTGCTGTGTGTGGAGAATGCATTGGAGGTACCTGAGAAATAGAGCCAGCTGCATCTCCGTGGGGCAGTGGTGCTGGTTTTTGATGGAGTAGGGCAAGAAGTGGTCCCTTTGGAAGTAGGTTAGCTCAGTGTATAGAATTGGCTTTGTTGTCCCAAGGTAGGTAGATTGTGAATATAACCTGCCTAATCTAACAAATGGACTTTAGTTCCATGAAAGGTACCAACATGAGATGGTACCAAACATGAGATGTAGGGTAAGGTTATTTGTATGTACCCTTTAAATTATTCCTGGTCAGGCACGGTGGCTCATGCCAGTAATCCCAGCACTTTGGTAGGCCAAGGTGGGAGAATTGCTTGAGGTCAGGAGTTCAAAATCAGCCTGGACAACATAGTGATACCCTATCTCTACAAAAAATTACAAAAATTAGCTGGATATGGTGGCTTGGCTATTCTTAGCAAATACTTGGGAGACTGAGGCAGGAGGATGGTTTGAGCCCAGGAGTTTGAGGCTGCAGTGAACTATGATGATGCCACTGCACTCCAGCCTGGGCAACATAGTGAGACCTTGTCTCCAAAAAAAAAAAAAATTATTCCTGTAGTTAGATTTCTGCTGGAGCCCCACATCTGAACCTCTCGATACACTAGTGAGGATGTTGGTTGGTGTTCAATCCTGGACAAGCCTCCATTTGGTTTTTTAACTGCAGCACGATTACTGAGTTCATTTAAGTTTCAGTTAATTACTTAATTTGATATCAGACCTTTTCAGCCAATTTTAGAATCTGGAAATTTACTTCAGAAATCCAATTTAAGTTTCCTTGGGTGGTGGGAAGAAATGATAATTACTTAAAGGGATTATTCATTTGTTACTGCAATTGCATTTTCAAAGCATACCATTTCGTTCACTACTAAAATATATGAGGTTGCTTATTTGGTGTGGTTGAATTTAGTGCCTTGTTTTGATATATCACTGGTGGCCAATAGAGGAACAGGGTGGAAAAATTTAAATGTAAGTTCACATCTTATATATAAATAACAGGCACATTAGCAATTCCAACTGCCAGAATTTTTGGCATTGAGCCTTAAGCTTTCAAATTGTCACTTTTTTTCCTCCCAAATTTCCTGATCTTGATTAAAGATTTCCTTAAGCTTGAGATAGGACTAAGCTCCTGGATTAGGTTTTGCCAGTAAACTAAGTCCTAATGTATCCAGGACTCTAACATGTATACTTATTACTCCTCCTGTACACATTTTAATTTTGAGGTTATATATCTTGAATCATTAATTATGTGCATCCAAAAGGCAAATACATTTTAGTCACTATATATTATATATATTAGGTTCTTACTGTGTGCTGATCACTATGCTTAGCACTTATTATGTATTATCTGAAATTGTTTAAAAACTCCTGAAAAAAAAATAGTTCCTCATTTTGCAAATAAAATAAGTTGTATTAGATGCTCTTCTCAGTGTTAACAGTGCTTTGTTGACTTTGCCTTTACTCTCAGTGGACTGTATCCCCATGATTTAGCCAATGCTGGCACGTGGTAGGTAGGCAGAAGTTTAATGAATGAATCCCAGAAAGGCTTAAGTGAATTGCTCAAACTTAGTGAACTAATAAATTATAGAGCAGAGGTTCTCTTTCAAATCTGATTTGACTCTGAGGCCTATTCCCTTGGCATTCTGCTAAACAACCTTTGACTATTTTTTTCCTGAATATTTCCTGATATACAATTGGAAAGGACACTGAAAGTATGTGTCATGGTTCAAATGTGCATTTTCATTTTATTACAGCTTTACCACTCCTGAAGGCCCTAAGCCCCGTTCTAGATGTTCAGACTGGGCAAGTGCAGTTGAGGAAGATGAAATGAGGACCAGAGTTAACAAAGAAATGGCAAGGTATACATTTTGGACCATTTTGAAGGTGTTATCTGTGGTGTTTTGAATTGTACATTAAATTTGGGGTGTGTCTTAGAGCATTGCTTCTCAAAAGTCTGGGTCCCAGACCAATAGCATCAGCATCTCCTGGGAACTTGTTAGAAATTCACATTCTCGGCCGGGCGCTATGGCTCACGCCTGTAATCCTAGCACTCTGGGAGGTCGAGATGGGCAGATTGCTCGAGGTCAGGAGTTCGAAACCAACCTGAGCAAGAACGAGACCCCATCTCTACTATAAATGGAAAGGAATTAATTGGCCAACTAATATATATAGAAAAAATTAGCCGAGCATGGTGGCGCATGCCTGTAGTTCCAGCTACTGGGGAGGCTGAGGCCGTAGGATTGCTTGAGCCCAGGAGTTTGAGGTTGCTGTGAGCTAGGCTGATGCCACGGCACTCACTCTAGCCTGGGCAACAGAGCGAGACTCTGTCTCAAAAAAATAAAATAAAATAGAAATTCACATTCTCAAGCCTCTCTCTGGTCCTGCTGTTGGAAACGTGGTGGTGGGGTGGGGCCTGGCCACCCTGCACAAAGCCCTCCAGGTAAGTCTACTCCCTAAAGCCTAAAGTCTACTCCTTCCGTACACCACCATCCTCTTGGTGGTGATCCTTCTGAGAGTGGAAGTAGGTATACAGTGGTGCTATTAGATTGCAGTTACAGTTATTTTGCCACCTGCCACGTCCTATGCTCATACTGTCCAGCACAGTAGAAGGAGTGTGCTCTCTAGGTGAGGGAGTGTGCTCTCTAGGTGAGGGAATGTGCTCTTGACTGACACCTGGCTCAGGTAACAAAGCTCAGAAATGCCAGTGTCCAGGGTGGGGTCCCTAACTGAGGGCCTGCAGTTGTACACAAATTATTTTATATGCCTGGGTTTTCACAAATTAAGCCTCTTTCTTTCCATTGACTCATTGTTATTTGGATAATGCATCTTTAATATAGTCTAATCTCCCTTGATTACATTATTATAATTTTTGATGTATTTTCTCCTTTGATATAGGCCATCTAACCTAGCTGAATGAACTTTGAATTAAACTGTGGTTTATAATGAAGTATTTTACAAAGAGATTTCTAGCTGACAAGTGGCTGATAGATCATACAGGATCTTTGTTAGTTTTTAATTCTGGTGAGAAAATGTCAGCCAGGGGAGCAGGACTAACCTTCCTGTCCTCATCTCAGCAGTTGGTGATGGTATTTATAGCTGCCTTCTCTGAAAAGGCACAGGAACACATCGCAATTGGTTATTGAGCATTCAGGGGTCATTCTTAATTTCTTTTAGGTATCAAAATGTGTGGCTGGGTAGTATGCTTGGATAGAAAGAATGAACTGAGAGTTGACAGATGTGGATACAAGTGTTTTGAGTGAATTTTATTTACATAGGTCTTGATTTTCTCAATTATAAAATTACAACATTTGACTTGATCTGTATAGTTTCTGTGTTCTGTTCATGAGTATTAGAATAGTTCTTGCCAAGCTAGTGGCTCCCTCATGTTACTGCTAGCCAGGGTCTATCTGCATCCCTTATACAGGAAGACTCTACCTGTCTGGACCCTCCTGTGGGTAGATCCTTCTTTGTTCCTTAGCTATCTTTTGAGCCTGTATCTGAAAACTGTCTTGTTTTAGAAAACAGGCCTACTCCTGTCCAGAGCGTTGTTTTGAACCCCTCCATTGATTATGCCTTTGTGTGTGTGTGTGTGTGTGTGTGTGTGTGTGTGTGTGTGTTTTAGATAGCCTTGCTCCTTCACCCTAGGATAGCGTGCAGTGGTGTCATGGTAGCTCACTGCAACCTCCAACTCTTGGGCTCAAGTGATCCTTCTGCCTCAGCCTCCTGAGTAGCTGGGACTGCAGGTACACATCACCACACCTGGCTAATTTTTTCTTTTTTTGGTATTTCATGTTTTTATATACTTTTTTATATTTTGTAAAGTTTTTAAATATAATTTTTCCTTTAAGCAAATTATTTATTTTCTTTCTGTTTTTAGAAGAGACAGGGTCTTGCTCTTGCTCAGGCTGGTCTCGAACTCCTGACCTCAAGTGATCTCTTGCTTTTGGCTCAGCTTCCCAGAGTGTTGGGATTAACAGGCAATGAGCCAGCATGCCTGGCTTATTTTTGGTAGAGACAAGACCTTATTCGTACTGGTCTGGAACTCCTGACCTCAAGCGATCCTCCTGCCTTGGCCTCCCAGAGTGCTAGGATTACGGTGTGAGCCACCACACCTGGCCTCATTATGCCCTTTCTGATGGAAGGCTGCTGCTTTTAGTACAATCTGGGTAGTTTGACCTCCTCGCCCCATGGTAAACCTTTAAAAGGCAGGCCAGCTTCCCTATAGCGAGGAGAGTGTGAGAAGTCAACTTACTATATACTTTACAGAGAGTAACAGTACAAACTGGCAATGTGAGAATTTGAAAATGAGTTGTCATCATACATGAAGCCAGTCTTTCTCATCTGGGGTATGGAGAGAATGAAGCCCTACAGAAAATGATTTGCGGGACTCATATCTCAATTATTATAACGATGATCTATTAAATATAACCAGTGCTGTGCTAGATACACAGGATGTAAATTATTTCCTTACTTCCTGGTGTCCAAACTGCACTGGATACCGTAGCCCACTGGGGGTCGGAGTTTAGATTTCGGAGGGAGGCACAGTGATATGTGCCATCTTACAGACACCCGAATGAACCTCTAGCTTGAGGTGGGTTGTGGTTTTAATCTTAGATTTCATTAGGCTCCTTTGAGTGACATCAAACTTTTTTTTGTGAAGCTGAGTTTTGGTAATTACTGCTACAGAAAGCTGATGCCTCATGAAATTCATCAGGAATGAGGCATGTGGGGGTGGTGTTCAGTTATCAAGCCTGGAAAAGGCACAAAGTGGCTAGTGCACACACATCCTGTTTGTAATTGTGGTATTTGAAAATTGAAAGCTTTTTTTTTTTATTTCAGCATATTACAGGGCTACAAATGTTTAGGTTACATATATTGCCTTTGCCCCGCCCAATCAGAGCTTCAAGAATATCCATCCCCTATGGTGCACACCATACCCATTAGGTGTGAATATACCCATCCTCTCCTCCCCCCTCCCATCTGCCTGACACCCAGTGAATGTTACTACTATATGTACACTTAAGTGTTGATCAGTTAATACCAGTTTGATGGTGAGTACACGTGGTGCCTGTTTTTCCACTCTTGGGATACTTAATAGAATGGGCTCTAGTTCTATCCAGGATAATACAAGAGGTGCTAGATCACCACTGTTTTTTGTGGCTGAGTAGAACTCCATGGTATTCATATACCACATTTTATTAATCCACTCATGTATTGATGGGCACTTGGGTTGTTTCCACCTCTTTGTAGTTGTGAATTGTGCTGTTGTGAACATTTGAGGGCAGATGTCTTTTTTTATAGAATGTCTTTTGTTCCTTTGGGTAGATGCCCAGTAATGGGATTGCTGGATCAGATGGTAGTTCTGCTGGTAGCTCTTTGAGGTATCTCCATATTACTTTCCATAGAGGTTGTGCTAGTTGGCAGTCCCACCAGCAGTGTATGAGTGTTCCTATCTCTCCACATCCGCGCCAACATTTATTGTTTTCGGACTTTTTGATAAAGGCCATTCTCACTAGAGATAAGTGATATCTGATTGTGGTTTTGATTTGCATTTCCCTGATGATTAGAGATGTTGAGCATTTTTTCATATGTTGGCCATTAATCTGTCTTCTTTTGAAAAGTTTCTGTTCATGTCCGTTACCCACTTTTTGATAGGGTTGTTTGATTTTTTTCTTGCTGATTTTCCTGGTGCTATATAGATTCTAGTTATCAGCCCTTTATCATGAGATATGTAACATGCAAATATTTTCTCCCATTCTGTAGGTTGTCTATTTCCTCTTGTGATAGTTTCTTTGGCTGTGCAAAAGCTTTTTAATTTGATCAGGTTCCATTTATTTATTTTTGTTGTTGCTGTGATAGCCTTTGGGGTCTTCCTCATAAATTCTTTGCCTGGGCTGATTGTCTATAAGAGTTTTTCCAACATTTTCTTCTAGAATTCTTAGTTTCATGCTTTAGGTTTAAGTCGTTTTTAGATTTAGGTTTAAGTGTTTTTTTTTTAAAGGCTACTGAGTTTAGGGAATATAAATTTTTGTTGTGTGGATCTCACTACTTAAGCTGAACCTGTCAAAGATTTCTTTTGGCCTAGGGAACCCTTGTATTACGTAGTATTGTGTACCTAAGGGTTCAGGGCAGAGTTTTGTCAGAACTGGGTGCTTTGTTTTTACTTTATTATTTATTTTTTAATTTATGTATTACTGATAATTATGCTATAAATATAAATTTTAATGGACAGAAAACACACAGAACTATAGATGCCAGTTTCAAGGACATAGAACCATAGATGACAGTATCACAACCCAACCCACCTCCACCACCCAGTGAACACACTGCCTGTTTCCAACCTTCATTTCCAGACTCGGTCCTATTTCATCTGTGTCCTCCCTCACAGCCACCTCCCTGGAGCATTTTTTAAAAGTTAATTATGCTCTTTCTAGGAACAGTTTGGTGTTGTTTCTTTATTTTATTTTATTTCAGAGTATCATGGGGTATTCTTATGCCTTTTTAAAAACAGCAATATTTATTTTGCACTCAGATATAAAAGAAAACTCCTCATAAATGATTTTGGAAGAGAGAGAAAATCATCATCGGGAAGGTAAAGGCTATGTAAATATTTCTTTTCTAATTTGATAGACTGTAGATTGTTAATGAAAAGAACTGTGCTTATGAGAAATAATCATCCTAATAGCATGTATTGATCAGTACCACTGTCACTAATTTGTAATATTGTGTCTGTTGTGTACCAAATTCCCATCTATACAAAGATTCTGAACTGTTCTGTTACTAATAAGGTTTGGAATCTGGAGAATGCATCCTCCTTTATTATTGTGTTTCAACATTTTCTCGGCTCACCTTATGTGGTGGTCTTAATTGCAAGGCTTGTTCTGTTAATCTTTCATTTTTCAGTTCTGATTCAAAAGAGTCCATGTCTACAGTGCCGGCTGATTTTGAGACAGACGAAAGTGTCCTGATGAGGAGACAGAAGCAGATCAACTATGGGAAGAACACAATCGCCTATGATCGCTATATTAAAGAAGTCCCAAGGTAGTCTTGCTTTAGTGGCATGTCCTGAAAAAGTCATGGGGTGTTGCACTTCTAGTGTTCCTTAGATTAGGTAGTAAATCTGATGTTGGGAATAGTTTATACCTGGGAAAACTGTTTATTAGGGACTCACAGGTGCTTATATTGTAAAGAATGGATTAGCAACTGAAAAACTAAAAAAATAAAATCACGTTCATAATTTTGAATGTTAGATAACATTTTATTTTCCAGGACTTAAAGATGTAGTTATTAAAATACATGATGAAAAAAATGAAGTTGAAGTTAAAGATGGTCAAGATATAACTGGGAAAAGTTGGCATTGCCCAGTATTCTAAAGCGGCATGTTCTTTTTTTTTTTTTTTTTGAGACAGAGTCTCGCTTTGTTGCCCAGGCTAGAGTGAGTGCTGTGGCATCAACCTAGCTCACAGCAGCCCAGACTCTTGGGCTCAAGCGATCCTCCTGCCTCAGCCTCCCAAGTAGCTGGGACTACAGGCATGCACCACCATGCCCGGCTAAGTTTTTCTATATATATTAGTTGGCCAATTAATTTCTTTCTATTTATAGTAGAGATGGGGTCTCGCTCTTGCTCAGGCTGGTTTCGAATGCCTGACCTCCAGCAGTCCGCCCGCCTTGCCTCTAGGATTATAGGCATGAGCCACTGCGCCCAGCCTAAAGTGGCATGTTCTTGTCTGTCCTATTTCCTTGAACATATAGACACAAAAGGATACAAAAAAGCTTTAGAGGTTTCCTAAACTTTTTGGCGGGATTGGTGTTAAAACTTACCTTTCTGGAACATAGATGGCAAAGGAATAATAAGATTCAGAGAGATAGTGCTTTTTTATATATTACTTTCTCATTTTGTAAAATCTTAGTTGATCTATAATTTTTAAAATAACACTAATTTCGAAGTTAGGTTAATCTTGAAGCTAATGTGCAAGTATCAGTGGCATGTGTGGGGTGCTGTTGCTCTCTTATAGACACCTTCGGCAACCTGGCATCCATCCCAAGACCCCCAACAAATTTAAGAAGTATAGTCGACGGTCGTGGGACCAGCAAATCAAACTCTGGAAGGTGGCTTTGCATTTTTGGGATCCTCCAGCTGAACAAGGATGTGATTTGCAAGAAATGTATGTTTTTATTGCATTCTTATTCTGTTTCTCTGATTGGTACAGTGACTGAGCAGCTCTCTGTGTGTCACTTGCAGGACAGGTTGTCATAGGTCTAGGTCCCCTTGACAGTTGTAAGGGAGTGAAGTGGCTGCTACTGGGTTTCTGTGCTGGGTTTCTTTGCGGTGTGTGAAGCTGGGTGGGAGGGGGTTGGAGGGAGGAGTTTGCTTCTGTGATTGAATTTACTTTTTGTAGCTAGAAAAGATAGAACTCAGTAAGTCTAGGAATACACAGTGACTGTAAGTCTTATTTTAATTAAAGAAGGCTTTTATCTTTTCGTTAGTGGTTTTTAAACTCGTGTCTAGTTGAAAATATCTCAGGCCTGAATTTTTGCTGCATGATTGGAATACCTGCTGCCTGGGACATTGGAGAGATCCTGTGCTTGCCTCCCCTGGGTGCCATGTGTGTTTCTTCTCAGCTACCTCTGGTCCTGAGCCTCTCCTTTCCTCAGACACATTTAGTCATTCAACAAATATTTGAATTTCTTTGTGCTGGGAAGTTTAGTAGAAACTGGCATATTTGAAATGCTTTCTCACATGGCTTTACAAATTTGGCCTGACAGATGTCACATGGGTTTCTTTCCGCAGCGAACCATTGTACAATTCTCTATGAATAGAAAATGGGGAAAATTAATGATAGTGTAGAGTGTGGTTTGTCACAGTGTTCATTCCCTTCCTTGAAAATTGGGCTAGTTACAAGTGCTCCTGCTCCTGAGTTTGCTCATGGTGCGAGTAATCCAGAGGCTAGAGAGTGGGTTAGTCTTGGTGTGCCGGGAGGCAGGTAGGTCTTTTCACTTCTTGTAATTGCCATCTTGTAATTGCCAATTTCTCCCTAGATTGACTGGGCCAGAGCTGGATCTGGCAAACAGGAGGGACATTGTCGGTGTCTGTCAGGGCAGCATGATGTGGGTGGAGCTTGTTTACAGTGAACAGACTTGGAGAACTTAGGTATATACTGAGTCTCCTGACTTTGTTAGGCCAGTGGCTGACACGTTGTTGGATTTTCTTTTACAGACACCCTATAGACCTCGAATCCACAGAAAGTGGCTCTGAGCCCCAGACAAGCTCTCAGGATGACTTCGTAAGTACTTTCTTTGGATGGTCTTTTAGCTTGAGGTTTTCAGGTGAATTGTTTTTTGTTTGTTTGTTTGTTTGGTTTTTTTGAGACACAGTCTCACTCTGTTGCCCGGGTTAGAGTGCTGTGACATCAGCCTAGCTCATAGGAACCTCAAACTCCTGGGCTCAAGCAATCCTCCTGCCTCAGCCTCCCAAGTAGCCAGGACTATAGGCATGCACCACCATGCCCAGCTAATTTTTTCTATATATTTTTAGTTGTCCAGCTAATTTCTTTCTATTTTTAGTAGAGATGGGGTCTTGCTCTTGCTCAGGCTGGTTTTGAACTCCTGACCTCAAGTGATCTCTTGCTTTTGGCTTGTCTCAGCCTCCTGGAGTGCTAGGATTACAGGCATGAGCCACCGTGCCCAGCCAAGGTGAATTGTTGATAACGTGCCACTTTATAAACTGAGGTTTGATTCAGATGCTTATGAAAAAGGGACTGCTTACCATATTCCCCATTATTGAAATATCAGATTTGATTGTAAGATTTAATTCTTAGGTAGTGACCTTAATTTAAGCTTTTTGGTTCAGTCCAGCTAATCAGACGCACCATTTCATTTGAAAGTAAAATGTCTTTTTCCTTTGAATGTAGCATATACATATGCATTGTCAGTAGCATTTAATTATAGGCTGTATACAGTTTGCACTGGTAAATTGCTAACATTGGAATCATATGCTAATTCTTATTAAATAAGGGAGTGCTTTGTGCCTAGAAGTTTTCCCTGCTTTTGCTGATTTTTTAAAAAATTACATGTTTTTGATGGGGAAAAGCAGTATACAAAATTGCCTCGTCTCTAATTCTGTAACGATTGAGTACACATTCTTCCAGACCTTTTTGCATGTGCACAATTTATAGCAAAGTGATCCCTTTATTATTTTTATAAAGGAGACCACCGTAATATTTGCATATAGAAGCACCCAGCATATTAAGTGAAAAAAACAGGCTAAAAACTAGAATATGTAAACATGTGTTATAAAATACTCATGTAAAATTATAAGATCTTGTACTACATTTGAACATATAAAGGTGCACATTTGCCTTTTCCTGCCTTCCTTCCATCTCTGTCACCCTTGGTAAGGTCCTTCCAGTCTACTTGACCATTTGAACACCACACAGTCTTTATTTGTGACTAATAATTTGTGATAGAGAAATTAGGAGTAACACAAATGTCCATCAGTAGAGGCATGGCAAAATTACGTTCACCTCTTAAGGCATACACCTATTACAGATCATGTTTTCAAAGACTATCTAATGACATGGGAAAGTTGTCAAGATAAATCTAAAAAGAATATTTAACTATAGATAAAAAGGATATTTAACTGAGCCAGCTCAGTTTTGTGATAGTTATACATAGATAGAACTAAAACACCTATCCAGATCTTGGCAGGTGGGTATCCTTAGTTTGGATTAAGAATGGCTTTTGTAATATTTTATTTTATTTTATTTTATTTTGAGACAGAGTCTCACTTTGTTGCCCAGGCTAGAGTGAGTGCTGTGGCATCAGCCTAGCTCACAGCAAGCTCAATCTCCGGGACTCAGCGATCCTACTGCCTCAGCCTCCCGAGTAGCTGGGACTACAGGCATGCGCCACCATGCCCGGCTAATTTTTTGTATATATATTTTTAGTTGGTCAATTAATTTATTTCTATTTTTGGTAGAGACGAGGTCTCGCTCAGGCTGGTTTTGAACTCCTGACCTTGAGCAATCCACCCGCCTCGGCCTCCCAAAGTGCTAGGATTACAGGCGTGAGCCACCACGCCCGGCCGGCTTTTGTAGTATTTTAAATGCAACTCTTGTCCCAGTTCAAGAAACAGATTATGACATGCCAGCTGCAGTGTCAGCAGTTAGAAGTAAATGAGCAATCCTAGGGGAAAGAGAAGAGGAGAGGTGACTGCATGGGTGTGAGGGAGCCTGGCCACAAAGAGGCTGGGGTCTGGGAGGCAGGATTAGAGAGGGTGGGGTCCTGGTGAGAGATCCTGGGGGCCTCCAAGAAGAGGAGGCTGTTGATGGCTAGATGTGTAGAAGGGGAGGAGAGAAACACCTATGTAGCTATCTCCTATTTGTGTGTGTACCTCAACCACTTGAAAATGGTGGTGAAACTTTGCCACTAAATATTACCAATTTTGTCTCCTAAGATTCAGGATTTTCTTAGGGACATAACCACAAAATAGTTGTCACACCTAATCAAGAAATGTTATTATTGACAAAATTGTGTCTAATAAGCAATTCACATTTCAGGTTTCAGGTTGTTCCAATGTCCTTTTTAGCATTTTTTCCTTTTTTGATCTAGCGTTGAATCAATCGCACACTTGGCTGGGTGCGGTGCGATGGCTCACACCTGTAATCCTAGCACTCTGGGAGGCCGAGGCGGGAGGATCACTCAGGGTCAGGAGTTTGAAACCAGCCTGAGCAAGAGCGAGATCCCGTCTCTACTAAAAAAATAGAAAGAAATTAATTGACCAACTAAAAATTCATAGAAAAAAAATTAGCTGGGCATGGTGGCGCATGCCTGTAGTCCCAGCTACTCTGGAGGCTGAGGCAGGAGGATCGCTTGAGCCCAGGAGTTTGAGGTTGCTGTGAGCTAGGCTGATGCCATGGCACTCTAGCGTGGGCAACAAAGTTGAGACTGTGTCCCAAAAAAAGAATCACACACTTAAACTACCCTATCTCTTTCCTTTCACCTAGAATGGGCTCCCGGCCTTTCCGCATGATCTTCACTCATTTCTTTGAAGAGAATCAGTTTAGTTTTTGTAAAGCAGTGTCCATTTGGAGTTGCTGGATTGTATCCGTAGGGATTAGGTCAGGTTAGATCCTTTGGGCAAGAATGCCACAATAAGAAGTGTGTATCTATTTGTCCTTTTGGTGATGTTAAGTTTATATCATGATTCAGGTGATATCAACCAGAGGCCTTTTAAAATTCTTTCTGTACGTTTTAGAATTCTTTCTGTGCTTATAAGATATGTACACATCTAAACTTTGTATGCTATACAGTATTTTGTGAATGGTACATATGATCCCTCTTTGCAATATCATCAACATCCATCTCAGCTGCAATTAAGGTGTACATCTTCATGTGCAATATATCACGTGATGCCACTAAGGAGTGGGGTGTGTGAAGTGGCCTGTTTAGGGGTGAGGTGGGCTCAGGAAAGGCCTGTCTTCAGTCTCCGGATCTGCCATGCTGGAGCTGAGGCAGATCTCCCTTGATCAGTTGGTGGTTCGGCCATTTTGGTGTGATTCTCCTTCACACATCACAAGTGGGTGATGTCCTGTGCCTGGTCCTCACAGAACCTCCCTTTAGAGTTGAGGTAGCTGTGGCTCAGATATGTCAAGGGATCAGTGAGCTGCTAATTCTAATCTGGGGCAGGGGATAGTTTATTGGGTAGGAATTTGACACTTCCAGCTAAAGTTTGATGTTATTCATTATCCATGAGTTTTATTTTATTTATTTTGTTTTGTTTTATTGTTTGAGACAGTCTTGCTCTGTTGCCTGGGCTAGAGTGCTGTGGCGTCAGCGTAGCTCACAACAACCTCCAACTCCTGGGCTTAAGTGATCCTCCTGTTTAACTCTCCTGAGGAGCTAGGACTACAGGCGTGTGCCACCACGCCTAGCTAATTTTTTCTGTTTTTAGTTGCCCAGCTAATTTTTTTTCTATTTTTTAGTAGACACGGGATCTTGCTATTGCTCAGACTGGTCTCAAACTCCTGACCTCAAGCGATTGTCCCCCCTTGGCTTCCCAGAATGCTAGTATTATAGGCATGAGTGAACCACCAGCTGGGCCCATGAGTTTTAATTAGCTACTTTGCATTCTCTGTTGTGTTCTGCCTTTACGTGATCATCACTGGTGATGCTGGGTGTGTCTTGGGCCTGTTGTGCTGCTGCTGGGCACAGAAGTGTGTGCTGTCCCCTCAGTCGGCGAGTAATAGGCCTGTGCTTAATGTCTGTCTGAACGCCAACATGACCCACACTTCTGTTTTCTAGGATGTGTACTCTGGCACACCCACCAAAATCAGACACGTGGACTGCCAAGTGGAGGATGAGTTTGACTTGGAAGCTTGTTTAGCTGAACCCTTGAGAGACTTCTCAGCCATGAGCTAACTGTGCCACCTGGTGGTGGCCAGAGGAACAAATGCCCCCACACCTGGTAGAAGGCCAGCTAAGGCCAAGCATGTGTTGTGCCCTTGTACCTGGATGGTTTCTTTGTTAATAGCTCATTATCTCATGATGAATTGTTATTCCTGCCTTATTTTCGTAAGAAACATTAGTTTTATGTACCAGTGAGTGTATTTTGCATGTTTTAAATTGTTAATGGCGCTAAATCCAAGGAAGATTGGACTCAAAGCAATTTTGCAAGAAACTTAATTGCTTATTCTTAACCATCCTCCAAGTTAAACTTACAAGTATCCTTTAACATGTTTTCCACAAGTATTTTAGGCATAAACTTGCCACTTGTCAGATGGATTGTTTTGGATTTAACCATGAATTCATGGGACCAATCTAGAGTCAGCCTTCTTTACACGTGTCTGACAAAGTATTCTCAGTGTCAGACACCTAAACATCTTCATGGAAACGTGGTTTTTGGCCTTTTTCCAATATGTCAAAGTGGGTCTTTTTCCTCATACAGAGCTCTGAAATGTTAAATTAATGGGTTTTATGCAAGTTTTACTGTCTTAATTTGATACTTGTAAATAGTGCTAGGTAGGCTCTTTATCTACAATGCTCTAAGAGTTAAGGCAGCAGAAGGATTTAGAAAGAACTTTTTTTGCAATCAGTTAATTCGCTATGTAAAATTTCTGTAAATGATATTGTGTACAGATTTTGTGTTCAAATATTCAATCGTAAATTTCTTGTTAAGACTTAAGTTTCTATTGCTTTTGTATGCAATGATATTGCAAAAATAAACCTTTAACTGATTTAGGATTTTGCCAGGTGGGCTAGATCCTGTGAGAACTAATGTGCTTGG